GCGCGAATTTCAAAATTTGGTTATTTAAGTGCTAAGTTCCTTATTTGATAGGCTAAGTTCCTAATTTAAAAAGGTTGCGCATATATATATCCGGTTGAATGTAGAGGCCGGATAAAAAAAATACAATTCTCTAAAAAAAAAAAGCTACTTACGGTACACAGATACCACATTCAAAAACACTCATGAGTGTGTGCCTCTTCTTGTAACTTAACGTACGCAAGATTCAAGAGTCAACAAAATGGAGGCTCCATAATAATAAGGGTGTGTTTAGTTCGTGAAAAGAAAATTTTTGGGTGTCACATCGGATGTTTAACCGGATGTCGGAAGGGGTTTTCGGACATGAATGAAAAAACTAATTTCATAACTCGCCTGGAAACTGCAAGACGAATCTTTTGAGCCTAATTAAGCCGTCATCAGCACATGTGGGTTACTGTAGCACTTATGGCTAATCATGGACTAATTAGTCTCAAAAGATTCATCTCACGATTTCCATTCAAATTATACAATTAATTTTTGTTTTTATCTATATTTAATGCTCCATACATGTTTTCAAAGATTCGATGTGACGTTTTTGGGAAAAAAATTTGGGAACTAAACCATGCCTAAATCCGTAAGCCTCTCACTAAGGAATCGAAAAAAAAATTAGAAACCTATCCGTATATGCATAAATGCGGTCATCAATATAGTATTTAGAAACTAATGAGTAGAGTAACGTACCTACGACTCCACCACTGTATCTACATTACTTCTACAAAGAATGTTAAAAATTCTAGTGAAATTGGCTTGATGTATTCCATTTCAAGAAAAAAATATACTACCTCTTTTTAAAAAAAAATATGACACCATATTTATTTTTATATGTTTGATCATTCGTCTCATTTAAAAAATATATAATTATTATTTATTTTGTAGTGAATTGTTTTATCATCAAAGATACTTTAAACATTACTTCTATTTTTTTATATTTGATTTTTTTTAATAAGCCGAATAACCAAAACGTATGTCCAGAAGAGTCAATGGAATCATATATTTTAAAAAACAGAATATTATATTAAGAAAATGTAAAATAAACTAATTGCATGCATGCATATTGCGGGCCAAGCTGCATAAATAGATTGGCAGTGATCGAGGGGCGGCATGCTCGAATGGAATAGTTCATGCTTATCCTTCTAAAAGGCAATAATGCTAGCTAGCTGACCTTGAGAAAGTTACATCGATCATATCAGAAATCGTAGTCATATATTATATTATACATCGATATCATATCATGCATGGTGGGTGTGTGAGAGATGAGTGAGAGAGAGAGATGAATATATGGCAGTTGAAAAGCTACCTAGGAGTAGCTAGTATCTATGAATTAAAATATATAGTGCAAACAACATATACAGCGAAAAACTGAAAACTGTAAAAGTTTTATTTATAATGACGTGGAGAAATCTCATACATCCACTTGTATATCATATTATATTTTTCCATGGTTTCCACTACATATTTTTTTTCCTAGTATCTGGCTCATGCATGCATGCCTCTTAGGATTAATTGTTTTTCAAATATACATGTATTTACAACAGGGATGAATGAATGGAGAGAGTCTGTTCAATGAAATTGCTGGCAGCTTCAACTTGTACATTTTACTTGAACCGTCCAAATTAAAGATGGCCTGTTGAGTTTCATTAAAATTCCATGATAACAATGTTCTATAGATATTAATTAACAGATAGGATATCACAAAGGATCCTAAGAGCAAGTATAGTAATGTACAGTCAGCTGGCAAAATCAACAGCTACGTCAGCCGAATCCAACGTGGAGGAGCGAGAAATCAAGAAAGAGAAGGAAATGGGCGAGTCGCAGGCTTGGAGCGTCGTACCCGAGGCGAAACGCCCGCTCCCAGCCCGTTGCAGGCGATTGAGCCGGCGCCTGCTCCACAACAGATGCTTTGCACATGCATATGCTTAGATGTTTCAATTAGGTAATGTATCGATCTTATAGCCAACCCATTATACAAGTGAGCTTTTAGAGCATGGCTAAGTGACATGGCAGTGGCTTTCAACCGGCTGCTGGCTACGTTATTATCCTTGCTCTAAGGTCATTCCCAACCCAATGACTAGGATGATGTCCATAGTATTAAATAAGCTGCCACCTAGGACTAAAAATGATGTGGCAAGTGAATAAGTGAGGAAAGAGAAGGAAACCATATCTTGCATGAGACATGGTTTCTACACAACATCCAAGATATCATGTGAGATAAGTAGCATTAAATTTAACTATGGAATAGTGGTGTTTGCATTGGAAGAGTAGTGTCTAGTACTAGTTTCTTGATGATGTGGAGTTTATGGAAACTATGTATAGTGTATTGGGTTGAGAATGGTCTAATACCTTCTTAAGAACCACTCAGAACGAATTAGCTTCTTGTCGTAGAAACGAAAATAATATATGACTGTTATAGTTTGCCTTACAATTTGAATTAATGTTAAATAATATATGTTATCCAATTGTCATATATCTCCCACCAAGTTGTTCTCATATGTTTAGAACATTAAAATATTATAATTTGCCACGTAGATTAAAATAAAAAGCAATTTTCCAAACATCAAAATTAATATGCAGCAGTTAGCTGCAGCACCAAACGCGAGATTATCGTATTTTTTTCTCAAACATAGTCTAAATTGGTAGAGCAATGCATATGTAGTTCACTTTATAAGAAAATTTGGCGAGCCAAATTTGACCATTTTTATTTTTCTACAGAAATTATATACATGAAGCAAATATGTGATACTATAATTTCTTTCTATATATTCTATGTAGAGTAAAGTGTACGGGCGGTTCTTAAACTTGTAGGGGTGTGTCACCTAGGTCCCTAAACTCCCAAAATGCATATATAAGTCATAGAACTTGTCATAGTGTGTCATCTAGATCGTAAATCGCCACAACTCCTTCACGTGGCGTTGATGTGGCATGCCACACGGATATGATGTGGCATCATTTTGACTGACAAATTAATGGGACCTATTAAAAATTTTATTTTTATTTTTTTTCTCTTTTTTCCCCTTTCTTCTCCTTTCTCTTTGACCCGAGCAGAAGAATGGAAAAAAAAGAAGAATGAGAAGAAAACAAAAATAAAAAGAAAAAAAAAGGACACATCACGTCCATGTGGCATGCCACATCAGCCCCACGTAGGATACCAGAGGGGATGTATCGATTTGGGATCTAGATGATACACTTTGGCAAGTTCTAAGACATGGATATGTATTTTGAGAGTTTAGAAACCTATATATCACAACCCTACAAGTTTAAAGACCACCAATGCACTTTACTCTTATATGTATGAGCAAAGCTTTCTCGAACAACTAAGATATACTGAGAAATTTGAAAGTTTTTCTAATCAGGTATATATAGTGGCTATATATTGTATGCTGCTTAATTATATAGAATATATAAGATATTTATTCACCGGTTCTTTCCTTTTTCTTTTTTTTTTTTGCATTGACATGGTACGTATCCCATACAACATATTCAATGGTTATCCTTTTTTAATTGTATTACACAAAATTACCTAAAGTAATAGCATTACTCAAGAAATTTTAATGATGAACCAATCAATACCATTTTCAATAGGCCAAAAAATTTAATATATTCAAAATACAAACTAGCAGTGATACTCCCTCGGTATTTACATATATGATGTTGTTGATTTTATTTGGTCAAACTTTTGAAACTTTGACCATCAATATTTAGTTGAAAACATAAACATTATATGGGTAGATTTTTCATTAAGTGATTTTACAATATTATAAATTTGTTTTATATTATTGTTATATTCTAATACTTCCTTCGTTCTTAAACATAAGTTCTTTTAGCATTAAAAATATACACAAATATAAGCATATATCTAGAGTACTAGTTATATATCCCACCAATTCATCCTCATTTAATGTTCACCAAATCTTACCCCCTAACCACCTCTTATTTCATAAGGGGTACCATACTTTTTTCTTCTAAATCCTAGTCTTCTTTCCTACTAAATAACCTAGAAATGCTTATATTTAGGAGCGGTGGGAGTAGAAACTAGGGATGAAAACGGAGCGGATACGGACGGATAATGCTCATACCATATTCGTTTTCATATTTTTTTACCGGATACGAAAACGAATACGGATAGCTCGAATACGGAAACAAATACGGATTATCTCGAATACGAATAAGAATCGAATATGATCGGACACGAATACGGAAACAATTTTTTCTCGGAACACGAAAACCAACTCAACTTCTAATGGAAACAAATATCAACATATATAATTAGCTCATTTTATATAAAATGAGGTATAATTTATAAATATTTTTTAAAATTTAAATAATATTAATAGTATGGACTAGTGTTAAGAGATAAACTACTATTAAAATCTATAAAGGTATATTGAAGGTTATAGAGTTAGAAAGAAATGGGGTATGTCTCATGGGTCCTGCGGATATCCGAATAGCACTGTTCACCGGATATCCGAATTATTATCCGTATCCGATGGAAACCCTGGTACCATATTCGTATTCGTATCCGGGAGAAAATATCCGTATTCGTATCCGTATCCGAACTATCCGAGAATTATCCGATCCGAAAGGTATCCGTATCCGTTTTTGTCCGGAGCGGACGGAAACTATCCGCTCCGTTTTCATCCCTAGTAGAAACTAGATGGCCAAAGTTGCTCACAAAGACTGAATAAAGCTAATAATATCATAAATTTAAACATTAAGGCAGTAATACCTCCAATAGCTTGCATGATTGCATGTATTCTAATGTGAATTACACAAGAACCGAGGAAACACTTATCAATTAATTATTGCAATGATGAAGAAGTTGCTAGGTATTGTGTGTTATATGTCTATAAAGAGAGGTTAGTCGCGGTCCATATTTAAATTGACTCATGAATATGTTTGTGATCGAATTCGTACTTCATGCATGAATATAATCATGTTACCATGATACACAGTACTTCACTTGAAAATGCAATTACAAGAAGCAAGAATGAATTAAGTTCTACTATATTAGTAGAAAGTGTACAATGATCTTGTTGCACAAAAGATATAGCTAAGCTACAAACAAAATGTTATTACAAGACACCCTTTTCACTTAGAAAAATAAAAACAATAATAAAGTCAGAAAGAACGACGAGCTAGTAGCTACAAACATTAACACATTATTACATACAAAAAAACATATAGTGGCAACCTAGCTAGTTATGCCCAATATTTGTACGTCGTGTTCTTGCAGCCATCCGATTCCGATCCACTGCAAAATAATTAAGACCTCGTTCCTGTATTCTGTCCAACAGAATTAATAATTCCACTACCAATAGAAACCATTATAACATATCTCTTCATGAATAAACATAGTTAAGCGCCACTTGATGAGCTAGCTAGCTGCCCCTCTCATCAGGACCAAAATAAAGTAAAAAAGAAAACTATATATGTATCGTATAGAGATACATACACATACACACATATATATGATTACATATTTACATTGGATCATCATGGATGATGGATCCAAAATACTACATCCATTAATTCCTAAATATAAGGGATTAATTCTGCCTATGTGATGGGTAGAAAGAAGCAGCATCAAAGTACAACACAAGATCGCTCGACCTGCATATTAAATAATATAATCTGCATATATATATATGATATCATTAATTTGATTAATTATCACCTGTACCTTAATTAGCCGCACCAGCATGCATTGATTCTTCAGAACAGATCGGCATAGATACAGATGAAGGAGAGATGCAAGCCTAGCATAAGTGACAAGAATCACTCAGGCTAGCCAAGGAGACTGCCCATGAAACCTGCTGAAAGGATCATTTTCTGAATAATAATTAATGATCCTTACACACAAGGACACAGGCAAGTCATCCTTGGCTACCAGAGCTAAACCCTTGTCTCCATGTAAGCCTTGCTCTCTTAGTACAAAAATAGTGTACATATATAGCTTTAGATATATCTCTACTCTCTGCAACTCTTCAGGACCATGGATGACTCTAGCTAGCTTAGCTTGATCTTGTGCCTGTTTGCTATGCATGCTTCCATCCACCAGGACCTATTTATAGTGCAGTGAAAAGCAACTGTGACCTAATTTTATTCTAAAGGTCCATATAATTAAAAACATATCAAGAATATCCCTCATCATATTGTTCATGCAGAATATATTCTTTTGCCAATTTCAACATACATGCATGCATATCTGCATATGTATGCAGCTAGCGCATATTACTGGCTTAGCAATAGAATGCATGGATGATTAATTTATATATTCATTTTCTATTTTTTTAAAAGAAAAGAAAAAGAAAAAATATTCATCTTCTCTTCTCAGAAAGCAGTGGATGACAGCTTCCTTCCATCTTGGGAAATCGGAGCTTTGCATTGACCCCCTTTAGAAGAAGATTTTATGCTGGAAGGGAGTACCTATACATCTTTCGAAAGATTTTTATAATCGTATCACACAGATTTTTAATCTTTGTATTAAAATCCGATAGATATAATAAAAAGCAAAAAGCAATTAAGAAACACCATAATGGACACTAAATTACCATATCCTCAAGAAAAAGACCAAATCCAATACAAAATTTAAAATTTACATGCGAAGATTCAAAAATTACAGTGTAACTTACAAAAGTTACAGTGTAAGTTTCATAAATTACACTGTAACTTACAAGAAAATGCACTGTAAATTTGAGTGAGAAAATCGAGTGAGAGATAAGAAAAAATCTTTCGTGTGAGATATAGCAAAATCGCTATAACTAATTAATAGAAATCTATATGGATGGCTAGTTACCCAGACGCGTCAAATTAAAATTGCATAACTAATTAGCTGGTATTGTCTTGGAATTGGATCCAGTGATATATATATCTACCCTGGCCGCCCATAGCTTTTGACCTGGAGATACTCGAACAATATGATCATGTATGATGACATTGATTTTATGTTTTTTCTATTTTGTTCTGATCTGCATACATGCATGGGTCTTTTTTTTTCCGGTTTATGTTGCGTATATGCTCTTCGATCAGGATTGGCAAAAGAAAGCAAAGTTTTCTCCTTCCTTCAGCGTATTCTTATCTATGCCTCCTATTCCTTCCCCATTTTTGATAAACCATGCAATATGATTAATAGAAGTATTAGTAAACAATATGATTAATAGAAGTAATAATTAGCTGATATTGTGGTAGAATTGGATCCAATAATATATCAATCCGGCCTGGCCCTAGCTTTTGATGTAGATACTCGAACAGTATATATGATCTTTTGTACAGTATATATGTATGATGACAATGATTTTATTCTGTTCTATTTTGTTATGATCTTCATATGTGGGTCTTTTTTCTAGGGTTATGTTGCGTATATATATATGCGCTTAGATCAGGATTGGCTAAAGAAAGTAGAGTCTTCTCCTCCCTTGAACGTTTTCTTACATCCTTTCTTTCTATATATAAAGTTACAACTACAAGCTCTACATGCGTGAAGCCGTAAGATGAGCCGTTTTAGATCTCTTCCATGCTTGATCTCAACCGTTTATATTGTGTACAATTATTATTCTCTATTAACTACTAAATTAATCTCCACTCTAACTTATGTTGTACCCACTAAATGTAGTTATTGGTTGTTATGCTTACTTATTTGTTTAAAAAACGTTTCATCCTGATTGTTACCTACAAGTGCTCGCAGCAACCCGCGGGGTTTCAGATGAGGACATCCTCCACTATTACCCGCTGGCAAAGACGCCAAAGTCGGACGGCGACCGTGTGAGCCTCTGAATAATCCCACCTTACTTAGCTTAGGAGGAGGAAGCCACCTTAATGAGAGAGCCACCCTTCCCCTATTGGACTAGTCTTTTAGGGAGATTGGGCCTCTCCGCTAGTGGGTGTGCTTAAGAACTGTTGGGGTCCGGACAACCTTAATTTGTTGGGCCTCGGCCAACCCCACCTGGGCCGGATTTGTTATCAAGCATATACATCCTATTCCTTTCCCATTTTTTAGCAACAAACCATGCCTTGCCACTTTTGGTACGTGAAACCCCTCCCTATGACAAGTGAGCCCCACTACCAACAATGGTCAAAATTAAATTCATGCAAGAGAAAAAGGGATGAGTTTAATCCATATTTAGAGATAAAATGGATATTATCTGTACAATTGAGATACAAAAATTAAACTAATTAAATAATAGTTTGAGGGACGGGAAATATACAGCCTTAATGTGCACTATATATGTGCATATTGATTTCCTCTATAGTTTTTTTTTTTTTTTTGAGGGGGGATTTCCCTCTATAGTTTACCTTTTTCAAGTGAAAAGCTTACAAAAAGAAAATAAACTGGTTTGTAACTTTGTGTTGCAAAAGGGAATGAGCAGTTAAAATCGGTTTAGCTAGCTTTAATTAGCTAATGCTCGTAATAATTCTTTTCTGCAAGGAAAATGCTAGCACTTAGTACTAGATCAATAGAAGTATAACTAAACATGAGCATGCAGCAGTACAAAATTGGAAAAACATCAAACATTTTGTTCAGAACTTCGTTCCAAAAACAACCACGTTACAGTACATATCTATATATTATTGTATTAATTACACTTTGTCAGATATTCAGCTCAAACATAAGAGTTTTCCCAGATTACAAAAATGTATATATGTCGACACATGCATTACGCACTAGCTAGTACTGATCCTGTAGACCAACAGAGAAACGAAAAGTAGTTCAGATGCGTGTACATTCAGTCGTCCGATCGTCAGAACTCTGAACTTTGATCACCAGCTAGCTGATCAGTAGCATATTTCTTCAGCATCTGCAAAAGACGATATGCCGTACCATACGTGGCACAATTGATCTATCGAGGCGGCGGTGCATGCATTGCTCCGGCGACGGCGACGGCGCCGCCGCGCCGACCATGCAATGTGTGCCCCTGAACAAAAGGCAGATAGCTAGTGATCAGCTAGGCTAAGGGAATCTCTCTATCTTGTCTAGCTTTTGTTGTTTTGGAAAGTATATATTTAGCTTAGCTTTGCGGCTATAGCTGGATCATCTCATGCATGTTCACGTACACAGCTAGTAGCTTTAACCATTTTGGCATATCTATGTGTGTGGGGATGATTGATCATTGTCTCATTTCTCTGAAGCCTGAAGGTATGTTCAGACATTCAGTCCCAATCTAGGCATCTAGCTCAACCTTTTCTTGCTTTCTTTTTTCTCACTTTGCATTTTATGCATGCATGTGTCAAGAAAATGGCCATGCATGTATATGTTTGACATTCCTGTGATTTGAAAGGCGATGGGAAATTTATAGCAGCTCTTCCTTTTCATTGTTTTCTGAATCTGTTTCTGCACAAAATTCAGAGATAGGAGTACTAACTCACAGTTTCAGATATAGCCATAATTTAACAAGATGGGTTAAAAAAATCATAAATAGCACAGGATTAAAATGACAAAAATAACTAGGCTCTCAAGAACGTCCGACAAACACTGAACATGAACAGCTCCAAGTACAGACAGTAGAAAAATATCAACTACATGAAAAAAGTTCAGACTTGCATTGCCATCAATTTACAAATTGCATATGCTCCGCATTGCTGGCAAAATTAAAACTAATTATCAGGTTTCACATTGCAATTGTCCGCGCCTGTGTTCGTCGATTCTCTGAAATATTTGATCTTTGTGTTCTTTGCCAAGCTGGTCTGTTTTCATATCTGTTCTACCAATAGAACCTGTTGCAAACATAACATGATATGCAGTTAAGTGTGAGATCAGGTCAATCCTATAATGCAAAGATACCACACGCATATATATATATGTACTGTTATGAATAACTTTGCAGCAGTGCTCCCCTGTAACTGTAACCTGAAGATGATCAAACTGTATCTCTGCATGTATAGATTTTGCAAAGAACTGATAAATGCATCAAGAATTACTTTTCCTTCTGAAGAAAACGTAGTTAATTACATATCGATCAACGAGATGCAAGCCTAACATGAGTGATAAGAGCGACTCAGACTAGCCAAGGAGACTGCCTATGAACCAGTTCAAGGCTCATTTTCTGAATGATCCTCTACACAAGGACACAGGCAAGTCATCCTTGGCTACCAGAGCTACACCCTTATCACCATGCAAGCCTTGCTCTCTTCCATCTCCAGAAATTAACTTCCCCCCCCCCCCCTCTTCTCATGCATTAATTCTGTGTTTTTTCTGTGCATATGCATGGCTAATTGCTAGCTAAGCTCATTGCAGTTGCCTGCTGGTTCATGGCAAAACAACCTGCTTCAGGGGCTATTTATAGGCAGCTTGCAGTGCAGGAAAGCTCATGTTTTTGCGTCCAAATAGCATCTTTCTTCATGCATGATGATAATCTTTATTCAGAGAACATATTCGAGATAAATGGTCAACCCATTTTGATAGAGACACTAGTTGCTGGGCCTCAGTCTGGAATCCCTGTCTATCTAGCTACTAGTGGCTCAAGCAGATAACTCTCTCTGAATTCATGATAGATGCATGCATGGTGATCATACGACATATATACAGATGATCACAAAGACCAAACCAAAACTTTTTGCATAGATTAAGCAGCATCAACATGTCAGGTTTGGTTTCCTAAGATCTATCCTAATGTCAGCCATTTAGCAGCCAATTTTGACAGTCCAAAAGGAATGTTCACACTGTCAGAATTCAGAAATCACTCCTTATCTCTCTCTTTGATAGCTAGGATCCAATTAACCCTACATTTCTTGGGTGATCGTTGGGCCTCACTTGTAATAGTTATGGGCTTCCATTGCAAAGCCCATCACAGCTAGGCCCAACCCAAGACATGTGCACCTGATGATGAATTCTGAAGTCTCTGAACTTCTAAAATTCTCTGTATACTCTGAAGTCTGAAGATTTGCTTGCTTGACCTGCCACTTCACAAATCACACTGTAGGCTGAATGTGACAAGACAACATTTTTTAATTTATTTATGGCAAGATAAGATCCGGAAACCGATTAATTAATTAGAAACAGGAATCCGTACACCAAAAATAGACGCTTCTGGACTCCTCTCCCAACTGTCACGGCATCTTCAACTAATTAATCAAGCAGGATTAGTTTAATACTTCTGTCACAAGTGCTACTAAAAGAAGAAGAACTGAAGAAGCAGCTAGATGTACGGGATTATAAAACACTCTAATCATGGCACTCCACTGGCCCAACCATGCTTAATTTAAATCCCAGCTTGCTAAATCCAGCTAAATCAAAGCAAGCAGCAGGAGTACGTGGCGGCCCACGGTTTGCTTTGCTCGCCAAAAGATTTGGCCGGAATTTGTTCGATTAAATTATTTCAAATTCACGTGTAGCCGCAATGGCGTCACTGCTGACCTCAATTCGAAAAGTTGCAACACTACACGTACTGTATTTTTTTAGTATAAGGTTTTTAAAATATAACAGGATGCTGGAGTTACTTTTTTTTAAGAGATAAATTTATTATTGTATGTCTCATGCTCAATTAGCATGTACCACCACACTCAAATTCTATTTCTATATGGTTTTTTTGATATGTTCGCTTTCTGTGCAGTATATATCATGGTGATGGGGGCCAACTGCAATGACTATTATTATTTTTATTATAATACACACTTTGGGTGAGCAGCATTTGTGCTTTGAAGATGCATGGCTTTTTCAAAAGCAGTGTTAGTACAGATGATATAATAATATGGAATGGTTATAGTGTCACCTTTTAAGGGGATTTGTATGCACTACTTGTATATCAATAGGCTATTTTTCTAGTGTAATAGGAAATAAACAAAGAGATTATGTTTAATTATGGACTGGCACGATCGAGTACATATGCTTCCAAAGGGTAAGGATAGTTTATTTATGAAATCCACTTAAAGTCTCCAAAGCATTGGATATGGTGTTGCAATTCAACCCAAGGTTACAAATACATTTCAGTTTGGACATCAACATGAATGGAATCAGTGTATTAATAATCCTATTGGAATATCAAGTGCATAATTTTGTTCATTTGGTGAATGTCAAGTGCTATCACTTCTTTCTGTGCTGTTGGCCTGGAATTAATAGTTGTGCAAAAAAAATCAAAGCATCGAACATCCGACAAAAAATCAACGTAGAAAAGCCACAGACAATTCTAATCATTCCCTTTTTGAATTTACTTTTCTTTTGTGGGGACTCTTGGATTTACTTTTCAGTGCAACTTGTTTAATTTCCCCTATCGTACGTGTCATCAAATTTACTTTTGAATATTTGTTTCCTGATTATTTGCACAATTTCCAAGAGAGGGGTCAAACATTAATGTTATGCCTAACATTATTGTATAGTACTATATACTACTTCTCTAATTGTAATGTGCTAGCTACTACTAATATTAAAAAAGCTATACAGATTTATTTTTTTTTACTCTGGTGCTGATGTACATGCTGTTTTAGACATTTGGTCTAGTGCAAAGTGCAAACTACTTGGAATCAGAGTTTAATTATGTATGAATAACTTTGAGGTCACATTTTTAGACTTTAGAATTCATAATAAAGAATGTACTTTGAAGTTGTACCTCACATTGGACCGGAAAATTGCTGACTTTGAGCTTCACACAGTGGAAACTTCTAACTGAAAGGGCAACTTTTCTCAAGAATGACACATTGGACCAGAAGTTAATTAATTAAGGTGGTCCATAAACCACAACAACACACATATATATCTAGCTTACAAGTCAAAGCACATGCATTTGGTACAAAATCTTCCAGGGGATAGAGGATTATGGATTATGACAAGAAAACAAGCCACTTTTAACTTAATGCATGAAAAGTTTCCATTTGAGAGAGGGAAGACTTTGAAGGGACCATCAAATCAATTCCTAGATCTTGGACATGCCTTGTGCAATAATGAGAGATCTAGTGCCATACCTCTTAGCTCTTGCTGCAAATGGCATCTTTGGGACAACTATATATACCTCTTCCCAATCTGACATGCAAGCACGATTGAATTAATTGTGAGTTTGGTCAACAAAAATTAATTGTGAGTTTGAAAAAAAAAAAGAGAAAATTATCAAAATTTGCACTTCTAAAAAATGCATGCATTCTCCATGTATGTATCAAAGTACAATGGCTACATGAGTAGTACCATAGGGTACTAGGAAAAACATATGTGCATTCAATTTGGTTGTGGTTGATTCAGAACTACTAAAATTTCTCTTCTAGGAGGATGATTGGTGCCTCTGAAATTTACTCGAAATATATAATTTTAGTGCAAATTTGGTTCGTTTCACATGTTGAAGGACCCACCTGTCACAACTATTCGAACCTTTCTTTTATAGGAGAATTTCATCAAGTTACCACTGCATGGTATTTCATCAAATTTTAGGTGAGAAATTATGCTGTTTTTCATAAAATAATTATTTGACTTATTAGATGGTTTAATTTTATATCTAGTGTACCTAACATTTCTTGCATGGTGGTACCCATAAGATATCTTCCCAACGGAGTGTATGTCAAACAAATTAAGGGGCAGTGCCACCTAGTCCAGCTGTCGTGATACCACCGCAATAGTATCATGTAATCCTGATTTGTGAAGAAAACGCGAATATTAAAAAATGACCTAACATCAAATAATTAGAATGGGTGAGGCTTTGAACCCAGACCGGCTAGCCCACCACCTTGTGGAGCTAGCTAGAAGACTCCTGGTGTTTCTCTCCGATTTGTGAAGGATAGTCCAGGTATGTAATCATTGAGTAACTTGAAAAGAAGAAGATATCATCTTGTTATCAAAATTTACTCCATTCCTGCTTAACCAAATAGACCAACAACCAAATAGCTACTATACATGAATAGATGGTGTGGTTATACTTCTAGCTTACTCCCTCCTTTTTAAAATAAAGTTAATTTGATTTGGGACGGATGAAGTACACGTCTAATGGGTACGTGGCAGCGACATGAATTTAGATGGCTTTATTTACGACATACTAAACTGTCTTATTTCTGATATATATAATAGAGTAAAAAGAAATTTTGACATTAGGTCTATCTTGTTGAGACTTAACTCGCCCCGATAATGATCATGAGTGTATAATTAGTACTAGGACGAAGCTCCCGTAGCCAGTAGGACGATATTGACAATGTCGACACCGACCGATAGTGTCACCATCGTGACCCATAAGCTGCATGTCGGCATTATATTGCATATGTACTACGCATCATGATCTGGTATTTTTTGCAATAATCTAGATGATGACCAAGGTTTGTGTGATTGTGATCTAGCAAAAGTGCCTGATTTGTGAAGGCACGTTGTGATTAATCGAAAGCTAGCCAATGTACAGAAGAAAAAAGAATGGCATGCTTAATCAATTGGGATGGGAGAGAATTTTAGTTCAGTGCCATATGTATGAGAGATTATCCCCTAAGTCGAAGTAATTTAACTTGATTCTAAAGACCGGAAAATAAATTCTGCAGTCCTTTGATATCAAGTAGAGTATTGCCATAATTCCATTATCAATATTAATTTCCAGCATCCAAAATTAACTTTACTATGAAAAAAATTTAGTATGTCTCTTAGGATTATCATTGAGGTCAACTCGTAGGTAATTTAGGTAGCTACGTTTATCGTGCAAATTAATTGTGCTTACTGTAGATCACTTGCTTTCTACGGGAGCACGTGCGGCTAGCTATTCCTAGGGCCATCTCTATCTTTTGGAGATATTTTTTTTTCTATGTCGTACTAATCTATCACTTTATAACTTTTATGTTAGGACGTTGAACCATGACAAATGACCAATTACATCTTGTAGCAACTCCTGCAATCCAATTCACACGGCATTGACAATTTTGTACTAGTATAATGATGGCATCTCTTATCGATCAATCTCACCTTGTTTCTGCTCCTATATTCCATCTGTTTTTTCATGCTTCGGTTTTGATATAAATCGAATTTCTTCAAGTTTAACCAAGTGTATGAAAAAAACAGTATACCTATTATACCAAATTAATTTTATGAAATCCACCATTGAATATATTTTCATTATATATTTGTTTGGTGTAAAAATGTTGCTCCTTAAACTTGATGAAACTTAAAGAAATTTAATTTTGAATAAACCAAGTAATCTTACATGCTGAAAACGGAGGAGTATATCTTAATCACAAACTCGTGGTATCATTATATGTATTTTATTACTTCATATTAGAGTAAATGCCATAATTAAGGTAGTCTAATTAATTAATTGGTGCATGGGAATTTTATTAGAATTTTACAGGAAGAGTAGTAGCTTTACTTCTGGTGACATTTGAAAAGGTTTTCTATTTTTTACATTCCAAATGTATACATATGATAATATTAGTATTAATTGATAAAAGTTCGTCACGCGAGTTACGGGGTGATTTTTCGACACGGACGCACCCAATACACTCCAATATGTCCAAAAAATGTTTCGGTATTTTTTGAAAATTTTTATTCCGGTAAAAAATATCGCACCCATATGTGCCAATATATATAGCAAGTAAAAAAAGATCCTTATTATAGGGATAATTTAAAAGTCAAAAAATAAAACATAATATAACGAAACATGCAATCAATCAAAATGTTGGGAAGGATACTGATTCTTAAACGTTTTGAAATTCATTACAAAAATATGCCCTCGTTCCTTATAAAGTCCAACAGTCATCTATCGACTTTTGTTAAGCATATTATATACGAGGACATGTTCCTAATTCTATCCTTAAACGAAACAGAAAACCTAAACAACGGTATCCTGTTGGAACGGGACACCCTTATATCTGTGATACCTAAGACCTGATACATGTGATACTCATACAAGAAAATAGTTAATATGTCTATCCTGTTACAACGGCATCCCGTTTTGTAACAGCCTCTAAACGAAAAATGTTTTCAAGTCCAGAATTATGATAAAATTCATCCGAAAAATCAATTAGCGCCGCATTCTGGTGGGCCCGACCACGTCACCCCCACCAGCTCAGCTAAAGCCGGAGAGATATTTCCCGACACCCCTGGCCCACTGACAAGCGGGCCCCACCCTCCCTCCACCTCGACGCGCGGGAACGAGTCCGAATCCGTGTCCCGTGTTCGCGCGCTCCGCACCGGATCTCATCTCATTCTCGCCGTCTTCTCTTCTCCACCACCTCGCTGCCTTCTCCCTCCTCCTCATTCCTGCATTGCATTGCTTCCGAGCTCAAAAGTCGTCGTAGACCCCCGCCTCCTTCCTCCTCCTCCTCGCGCTTCGATTTGGTTTGGTTTGATTCGGTTTGCGAGATGAAGGATGGTGGTGGAGGAGGAGGGAGGGGGCAGCAGCAGCAGTGGCCTTGCGACTACTGCGGGGAGGCGGCGGCGGCGCTGCACTGCAGGGCGGACGCCGCGAGGCTGTGCGTCGCCTGCGACCGCCACGTGCACGCCGCCAACGCGCTCTCGCGGAAGCACGTCCGCGCCCCGCTCTGCGCCGCCTGCGCCGCCAGGCCGGCCGCCGCGCGCGTCGCCTCCGCCTCGGCGCCGGCGTTCCTGTGCGCGGACTGCGACACCGGGTGCGGCGGCGACGACGGCGCGGCCTTGCGGGTGCCCGTCGAGGGGTTCTCCGGGTGCCCCGCCGCCGCCGAGCTCGCCGCGTCGTGGGGGCTCGACCTCCCCGGCGGCTGCGGCGGCGAGGAGGAGGAGGCCGACGACGCGTTCTTCTCGGCGCTCGACTACTCCATGCTCGCCGTCGACCCCGTGCTGCGCGACCTCTACGTGCCATGCGACCCGCCCGAGGTGGTGGTGGCCGGCGGCGGGCGGCGACTCAAGGGGGAGGCGCTCGGCCACCAGCTCGCCGAGATGGCGCGCCGGGAGGCCGAGACGGCGCACCCGCACACGCAGCCGCACTCGGATCTGAGCCCCCGCACGCCTCGCCGGACCTCCGCCGCGGCGAGCGGCCGCCTGCAGGAAAAGCAAGCTCCCCCGCCGTTGCCTCATGCTGCTGCGACGGCGGCGCCGCTGCCGTACACTTCACTGCTCATGATGGCGCCGGCCAACTGCACCGAGCTCATGGAAAACAACCGTGTTGGAGACGAAGATGAAAATGTTCTGTGGGAGAGCACCGCGCCATCAGTGCCACCAACCCAGGTAAAAAGAAGCAGAATTTCTTTTGAATAAGCACACATCTTCTGAATTACGATTGCATCTTCGCTGTATATTCAATGTTTGATTTTTGTTTTTGGGGTAATGGTTAATTGTTGCATTTCTGGCCTGTTCAATGTTTGATTAGTGTGAGCAATGTTAGTTGCATTGCTTAATTAGTCGAATTATTTGTAGCTTCACACTCATTAAGATCACGTGGTGTTAGGATCTTATTGGTTCACATCTAGCAATAGAACAAACTGTACGAATGGTGGTGTTGGACCCATCACTTGTGTAGTTCGTGCTCAGTTGTGCAGATCATTCAGATTGAGAGATGCGGTTATGATCTCTAATCTCTTGTGGATGAGGGGATGGGTAAAAGAATTGGATGTTTGAACCTTTCAAGAGAACTACCACTGTGGTTTTGTGATGAACACTATAGGTGCGAGTTATTGAAATTTTACATCTCTGTGCTTTTGTACATGATACTGGTTTTTCATGTGGTTTTCGTGTCCTGTCTAGTTCTATTTCCTAGTTTTTTTTCAACCACATAACAGAATGATTCTATTACTTTGAGTAGACATAAATTTATCCTTGTTGCCATCATGCACGATTTATGAACCGGTTCTTTCAGAGATTGCTTGCAGGCACAATAAACTTTCATGGACTCTTACTGCAAAAAAGTAAAGTATCATGGACTGGGTAGCATTGTTTTAGGGGCATTGAATGTGCAAATTGGGCTGATGAGGATGGGTGTTTTTTCCTTTTCAATAATGCAAGTTAGACAGAACTTTCTGAGGAGATGTTGCTATCACAATATGGAAAGTGCATTGTATGTAGATATTTCATACTACTGCTGTACTGCATTCTTCAGAGTATTTGCCCCTTCAGATATGAGATAGATCCTATGACCTGGGGTGTGCAAATAGGCTCTTGAATCATGGTGTGTTGATGCAATGAGCTTTACCTGACTTTTGGCTACAGACTGTCTAGCTTTAATCAAGCAAATAATTAACTTTCCGTAGGCATATATATACTAGTAGAACTGTCATCAAAGGAAAGAATGTTTTTCAACTAATCACCCTTGCTAATCCATCTCCTAAATATTTCAATGCTTCTTCTAGTTTACCCTGGAATGAGCTTCATTTCATGGCCTAAAACTTACGGTTCTCTTCTTGTTATCGGCGTGACAGATATGGGATTTTAATTTGGGAAAATCAAGGGATCACAATGAGAACTCTGCACTTGAAGTTGGATTTGGCTCAAACAATGGAGGCTTTATGATTAAGAGTTATAATGACATGCTCAAGGAGATTTCTTCTGGGACAACGAAGGATCTGGAAGATATTTATGACTCAAGATATTTTGCAGCTGCCGAAGATATCATGTCGACTAATGTCTGTCAGCTGTCATCGAAAAATGTAAGCCATAATCCCCTTTTTTCCAACGTAAAATATGCTTGCTGACTGTGCTTATCCAGCGCACCTAGCACACAATTCACCTAGCTTAGTGGTGCCAAGCAAGGTATTCTCATACTGCCTTGTGCTAGAGAAGAAGTGGCATCAATCCATGCATCTGATGAATCTCATAATTCTTGCAATTTTGGTATCTTTTGATTAGCACTGTAACTTCCAACAGCAAGGATAAAAGTAGTGTTAGAACACCTTATCTATCTGTATAGGATCCTCTTATTTGTTACCAAGCCTTACACTTCATACTAATAATCTATGACAAAGCCCAAGGTATCGATTTAAGCAAATCACTAACAACAGGTTTGCTTGAAGAAGCTGATGGACTTTCTGAAAAGGAACTTTTTGCCTTTTCCTTCTTAAAATGTGCATGCTCACGTGGACATTTGGTACTCCATCTGTGTGTGGCATGGACACTCTTTTAGTTGTTACCTGTTAACTTCCCAGTTGACCCCATGGCAGAGCTTTCGCTGATGTTGATGCGCCACTAACTTCTGCAATGGCTCCAGTGTTATGTTCCTAATTCGATCTTATCTTTTTAAAGGGGGGCTATTCTTGTATAAGTTGGCACCATGGTCCCATATGGTGTGAACACTTTTAGCTTGTTTCAATCACCGCGATATTTATGGACCACCGTACAGATCCTTGTTTCCTCCTCCTTTGGTCCACCAAGTCATGGACGCATCTTGTTTCGTTGCGAAACATTGAAAGGCCAATTTTGTTGTATCATAGAAAGCCCCACCACGTTTTTCTTGGTTGGTGTCATTGTAGGGTAAGTGTCATTGTAGGAAGTACCAAACCACTATCTGGGGCTATCCTAAAAAAAATTGCTGTCTGTTTGCTACCCTGTAAAATTCTGCATTTGTGATGGTAGTATATAGGACCAGAGGAGTATCTTCAGTTCAGTTACTCATGTTCTCTGCTTGAACTTTCCTTGCAGCCAAGCACCAGGAGCAACAAACGGAAGGCGAGCTCATGCGCTTCGACGATCGATGGACCGACAACTTCCACAAGCCATGTACCTGCTGCTTCAGGGGCATTGGGGGGCTCTTCGAACGACAGAGGATCGGCTCTCCCCAAGGAGATTTCCTTCTGTGATCAGACCGTCGTCCCTACCGGAGCCGATCAGAGGCCATGTACCATCAAGATCGACAGCGAGACGCTCGCGCAGAACAGGGACAGCGCGATGCAGCGGTACAGGGAGAAGAAGAAGAACCGCAGGCATGGATGAACTAACCTTACTACCCTGAACTCAACTCACCATTGTTGTTTACAGTTACAGGAATGCCTGAATCTTGTTCTGACTGTCACTGATGTTCTTGGTGCAGGTATGAGAAGCACATCAGGTACGAGTCGAGGAAGCTGAGAGCGGACACGAGGAAGAGGGTGAAAGGCCGGTTTGTGAAGTCGAACGGAGCACCTGATGATGTCAGCAATGGCGGGTGATCTCATCCCTGCAATCCCTGATAGCTAGCTGCAATGTACGTAGCCTGGCTTTTTGACGTTGCAGAGATCGATGTGGCCATATATATGCTGAGAGCTAAGTCTGAAATATGTTGCGTATGTTGTTACAACCTATGCACGCTCTGCTTAAGTCTGTCTGCTGCTGCATGTATTGTTCAGCTAAAATTTTTGCGTCCAAGAGTCGATCTTGATAATTAAGTACCCCTACTACAAATCTACACTACATACTGTAATAGACCTTAGATTTTTTTTCTCATCTCCTCGTAGAAATATATGGCATTTTATATATACGTAAATATGCACAAATAGCCACATTAATTATATATATGCACGAGATCATACTGAAATATGTTTCAGTCTGATTATGATTCTGATATACATATCCATGCATAAATCTCTACCGGCAATAAATTACTCTATCCGTGTCAAAATAAACCAATGAATCTGGAGATAGCGTCACATCATCCAGTGCCAGGTTGATTTATTTCACTAGAACGGAACCAATTACTCTCTTTGTTTTATTATATAAATCGTTTGACTTTTTTACTAGTTAAAATTTGTTAAGTTTGACCAAACTTAAAGAAAAAAAGTTGTCGTTAAACTTGGTCAAACTTAAAGAATTTTGATTAGAAAACAAGCCGAACAACTTATGGTATGAAATAGAGGGAGTAGTAGTTAGAGAAAAAAACGTAAAAAAATGCATAATGTTCTAAGCTGTAACTATATATATACATGTAAAAACAATAACATGTATGGAGCAAATTAAGCATGGAGTAATTAAGCTAGGTGGTGGGCGGCATCTTGGGGTAGCGAGAGCGGGCGCAGGCGACGCCGAGGAGGAGGACGGCGGCGAGGGAGAGGGCGAGCGCGGCGGCGCCGGCGTTGCAGTACCTCCGGTACAACCGGCAGACGGCGTACCAGCCGCTGGCCTCGTTCCCCCACATGGCGATCGACCCGATCGCGCCGGCGCCCGCCGTCGCCGCCGCCTCCAGGTTCACCACCACCGCGTCCGCGTGGTGCAGCCACCACCGCCCCATCGCCTTCCTCGCCGCCGCCGCCGCCGTCGCCGCCGCGTACACCGTGCACACCAGGTTCACCGCCACGAAGCCACTGCAAATCAATTAACACTGACAATGTCAGAGATCAAAACGCCGGCGGCCGGCGGCGAGATTAGATAGATCGTCGTACATCCAGACTTGGAAGAGGGTGAAGTCGACGCGGATGCCCCAGCGCTGCTGGTGGTTGGCGGCGACGACGACGGCGGCGGCGAGCGACGTGGCGGCGGCGAGAAGCCGGAGCGAGACGTCGACGGCGATGTCGGCGGTGGAGGCGACCGTCACCGCCTCCTGCGATTCGAGCTCCACCATCCTCGTCGATCGATCAACGTCCGTACGTCCTCGTCAATCAACAACTGAAAAAGTAAATAATGTTTCGCTTCTTCTAAATTTATTATAAGTAGATGTCATTACGAATCTTAGCTTACCAATACTCTAGCTAAGTATCTTAATCGTGCAAAACTACATACATACACGAGCTTACGCTAGGAATTCGAGAAGATAAGATAAGCTAAGATACACAAAAAGAAAATAAGTGTGCAACAAACCGATCGATTCTCCAATGGACTCTGCTCCTGGAGTGGATTATAATTTCTCATATCCCTTTTATATCTTTTTCTTCTAATTCGATCCAAATAGTTATGAAAATTATGAAAACAAATGACAATGTTGAGTATTATGATATTTATCTGTACAACAAAAATCAAGTTCAAATTCGACCGAATCATTGTAAAACAGAAAAGACAAATTCAGATGTGATCAGTACGTTAATATTTATACGCTGAATTTATCTTTTTTCTATATCTCAACATGTGTGTTGAGTTTGGACCTAAGACTTTTGTCAAAAAATTTTCAAAACTTGTCAAATGATTTTTAAGCAAATGAAGAGACATCCTGTCGAGGGATCAAAACTTTCCCCTCTGCTCCATGTACGTCTTGCGTTCGACTGGGCCGCGTAGACCAAACGACCCCCCGCGCGAGCAGCCCAAATAGCTAGCTGCAGCTGCGTGGGCCCAGCACAGCCAGGCCGGCCCAATTGGCATGACGACGCGTCCATTGGGATCCATATGCAACCACAAACCTGAATTGTTCAGGTTCAGTAACGCACAGCACAAACTGGGAACTAAAAGTTGCATTTTATTTGAAGACTGAAACTGTACAGTTGGTTGCGACTGATAAATACATCGGGGGCTGATGAGTGATGACAAGTTAAGAAGGATTAAAAAGATATTTACATTTTTTTTTTGTGCGCAAGAAAGCGCATGCTATGTACACAAATGACATGAGAGCTTAGCTGCATGCACAAGGAGGAGAAGCAGAGGTGTCAATTGCTTATGTCGAAGTACTTGGGATCAGCAGGGAAGTCATGTTCCACACGCAGCTGAAACAAAAGTGAAAACCAACACATCAAAACTCTTTAGGATAAAATGTAGTAACAGATCAAGAAACAAGAGTTGCAATCAAGCCAGATAGAGATGATATATTGCATTATAAACTCAGTTAATTGTCAGGAACCGGCTGCTGAAATAAGTTGGGAGTAGCCCAAAGTAAGACATTATGCTAAACCAAATACATTTCTATATATGTAAAGTGAGAAACTGATTATCCAAGAAAGAAACCAGAAGAAAGCTGTACTGGTAGATGATGTTCACAATATTGGAATGGGTGCATACCTCGCCTTCATCTGCATCTGAGTGCCTTTGAGGAAATACAACTCTAAGATCATTATAAAGGTAGAATCTGCGATCGTCCTCTTTCGCGGCATTACTATCATATGGCACCGATGATGGATCGGATTTGCATCGTAGCATCGATTTTGAGGATTTCTTGGAGGAAGGGCATAGAAAGCGCAGGTGCAGAGCATAGCGAATCACACCTCCACCCGAGCTATCATTAATCCTAGAAGATGCACAGCAATAATTCTTGCCACCTAAATTGTCCATCTGACAGCAACAATCATCAGAATCGGTGTTATTTTTCTTATTCACAGGAGAGTTATGTTTATTTGATTCCATCATGTTACTGTCCAACGAACAACGTTTTGCATTTGCGTCTTTCTCCTCTGATCCATCAGATGAGCCTGCAAAGACAAAATAATCTATCAGTTGACTCGAGATAAGTAGTTTGGACTGAGCTACTAGTCGTATCGGGCTATCAGCACCATTACATTCTGAACTTTCCCGTTCTGTAACTTCTCCACATGAGACAGACTCAGCCTTGGGGCCAATATTAATGTCACCGGCATTACTTCCTTCTTTCATTGGATTAGAGGAGGAAAGAGTGGGGGACAGAGTGACCTTTTGCCGCATGAAAGTCTGTCCCATTACAACAAGAGAAATAAGATGAGAATTGGGGATGGAGATGGAGAAACCAAAACTGCAAGCTTCAAAACACTTGTTCTCTGTCATTGTGAATGATTAATAATGTAATATTACATTCTGACCCATTATGTGTGTGATAACCTTTGACTAAGCTTATAGGAAAAGATCAAAGCTTGCAAGCAACCATGTATTCGACTTTGTTTAATATTGGCTCAGCTGACCAAAACAATAACCCAAAGCAAATACATATGTTGCCACCAAGTCAACAAGAAATAAGGCAATCATATGACAAGTAAGCTTCAAGGCTATTTCGAATTTGAGCCAAAGAAAAAGTCTATTAGTCACAATTTATTTTTAAAACTGAAATTAGTCATAATGTCTTGTACCTTGGTCCCTGAAGGCATGTCTGTCAAGTCATAGCTGCAGAAGAAAGTATGAAGTGGAGTCTTCTCAGGGTTGCTCACGACCTATTGATGTTATTACTTGAGTAAATAGCATGTTTATAAATGTATAGTTACTTCAAAAACAAGAGCAGAACTGCACACAGATAGGTGTTATGTACAGCACACTAAAACAACTGCAGAAACTTAAAAACAATGACACTTGATAAACAGCTTGGTATTATTTCTGTACACTGTTCAGGTTAAGTTTTTCATGCTACGAAGCACTACTTAAGTGGCATCAATAGAAGAGGATATTATCCAAATAAATGACGGTTGGTGTGTCTAAATATGTGAAACAATTCAAGTTAACACATAATATAAGCATTACAGAGAAATATTGAGTTATAATCAACTGAAAAGATCAGGTACTACAGGATTATTGACAAATGATGAAACAACCAGTGAATTACGGTTGGTGTGTCCAAATATGTGAAACAATTCAAACTAAACACATAATATAAGCATTACAGATAAATATTGAGCTATAATCAAGTGAAAAGATCAGGTACTACAGGATTATTGACAAATGATGAAACAACCAGTGATCTAACTGCCGTTTATGCTTTAACATTGAGAAGTATTGGCAGCAAAATTTTATGAGACAGTATTAGAGTTTGTCGAATGAAATTTCCCGTAAGACCTTTGCATTATTATCAACTACAACTAAGAAAAAAACAATTCACTAGCAGCTAAAAATATCAAACAGCATTTCACCCGAAACAATAAGTCAAGAACACCTTTCACTTTTAATAAGGATAAAATATAGTACCAGCTGTATCCTGCCCTTAACAGGGATCCGTAAGCGACTTTTGGCTGATCGTGAATCATTATTGCTTAAGCTTCTTTCGAGTTTTGGGCTTCTACAGTTAGTTGCTGACGACCTCCCAGCAAGATCAATAGAAGAATAGTACAATAAGGAGCTATCCTCGTCAATGCTTGTTACTGCGAACGGCAGCTTCTGAGTTGGAGGAGAGAAGTTTCCACCAGTAATATTTAGAACAGCTAAGAATCCATCAATTATCTGCATTCGAAATGAACATTGAATTAAACCAATAGTCAATAGCCTTGCATTCTACTAATACATACTAATATCTGGTGAAAGGGAATAAGAGACCTGATTGTCTTTTCCATAAGAAAGCCGGCCAGATAGAAGGGACTCCTCAAAGGAGCCAACTAGTGACCGTCGTACTGGGAGACTCAAACTCCGACCATAACCAACCCGGGGAGAAGTAGGGGTGGATTCAGGACCCCAGATTTGATATCTTCTGCATGAACTTCTTTTAGGGGTCATGACATTGTATTCATCATGTAATATGTTAGTTTCTTCTAGCACACTCAGCATTCTAATTCCATCGGGTCCCCCTTTTTCCCTTGAATCTAGAAAATGATGTTCAATATCTCTCATTGTACGGCATTGAGCTCCTGTAGCCTTAGTTCTGTTCATAAATTTAGGGCTAAGCGGGGACAAGGAGAGTGGAGAATGTGCTAATTTTGCACTAGCAGCTAGATGATCAAGATAAGCTAAGGACTCCTTGCTCCCAAGTAAAGGACCATCAGTGAATAAATTAGAATTAATCTTATTGGCATCCCATTCTGGACTACCATTGGAGCATCTAGAATTTGTCCAGGCTTGTGGCTCAAAAGAATCGAGCATACCAGTGTTTGCTTTTTTACTATCTTGGAAGCACGAAATGTTAAGTTTCCTGGCTGAATCAGAAAGTTCAAATCTAGCATCACCAGCGGAAATATTCAGTATATCACCGTGGAACTGTCTATTAAGAACGTTTTTCAATGGTGAGAGCAGTCTTTTCCTTGCCTGAAGTTCATGCTGATCGAATGGAGTATGACAATTATCAGTTTCTATTATAGCAGAACCTCCAACAGAACCCGACTCAAATCCCACAACCCTCATTGTGGGAACATGGACAGTAGGATCCAATTTATGAGAAGATCTAGAATCTGCATCCCTCGAATCAATTCTTAGTCCTCGGAGACCTGCAGGTCTATCAAAGCAATGGCTGTCTCTAGAATACTCAGTTGATCCATTCGGGATGTCTAATGCAGTCTTCCGATCAGAATCACCGATTGACGGGTATTCGAATACCCTGCTACTTGAGCTTCCTCCAAGAAGCCCATCCAAATCACAGGCGCCAACACCCTCGAAGCTACGAGGGCTCGACACAGGCCTACTTGACGGCGTAGGCGCTTCCTCGGCTGGATTAACCTGAGGCAAACCCATTGCAGGCAAATCTACACTATGTTCAGCGAAACGCTGAAAGAAATGTCACCGATTTGGGCTCCTAGCACTCCTACAACTACAATGCACTTATCCAATCCTTTCTGATGAACTCCCTAAGAATCTTTCTTTCAGTCTCCAAAGAAATCATCAACTGAAACCGATCAACACCGGGAGGGTGGAGCTACACTCGTACAGCCTGCTCGAGCCCATGAGGCGGAAAGGTATCATCCTGCCACGCCTAGCCATGTCCCCATAGCTACCACGGCAACTGGAGATGAAGCACAACTTGGAGCCTGAGCAAGCAACCAGGAACCTAGGATGCAACATGCCAGTGGGGATCACACATCACAGTCCTGCACAAGCAAAATCAATCAATGGACAATTAACACTTAATTACACCGATGAAACAAAAGCTCAAAAAAAATTATCCGATGTGCTAATGATCACGAGTACTACTCTACGTTTTAGCTCAGGAAATGGGAGGCATCCACTTGTGAAGCTGCTGCCGAGAAAAAGGACAATATATATGCCACTCTATATCGTTGGTTTCAACAAAATGCCACTCACTAGGATGTATAGGATAAAATGCCACTCTATATGTTGATCTCAGGATAGATTGCCACTTTGGAGAGTTTTATCTATTTTATTTTCTTTTCTCCTCAGTTTCTTTCATGGAGTGACCAAACTACCCTTGGGCTCTCAATACAGAATCTTTATATGCAGCTGGTCGCTCCAGCGCCATGGCAGAGCCTGCCTGTGCCAACACATGGTGTCAATGTGTTGCATGCAGGACAACACAATACATACCAATAAACCCACAATCTACCTAATTAGGGTTTCATGCAATTAATCAGTGCAAAAGAACAATACAATCTCAAATTAATTTTTGGTTTGTGATTTCTCACCTTCAAAACGTCACGCCAGAACCTACTACGAGTACCCGGCTTCTCCCCTAACGACAGCCGGCGCTAGAGACGGCCACCACCGCTGGTCGCTGGAGAGAGAGATAGAAGGAGACGCGCGCGAGGGGGAGCTGAGCTGGAGGAGCGGCGAGCGGCGTCGGGAAGCGGAGCAGCCGCGCGCGGCGACGCTGGAGGATGGCGACCGCGAGTGGGAGATGTGGAGGAGCGGCTCGATCTGAAATTCACAAGTTCAGACATCAATCCAAGAGTAAAAAAAAAAGAGAAAGATTAGGATTGGATCAGCGAACAAGAAGAGCTCGAATCCAACGCTCCAAGCAAGTGAACCAACAGTTGAATCATCCTCTCAAGAAACCAATCGAACCCCGGACAGGGGAGAGAGGAATGGATGCCCCTACCTACCTTCGATTCGACTCGACTCGACGCGGCGGTTCGACGGCGGAGGCGGAGAGGGATCGATCGGCGAGCCCCTCTCCTCTCCCTTCCCTTCCCTTCCCCAACCTTGGCTTGGCTTCTCCCCAATTGCTTCTTCTTCTCTTTCCTGGCTACTCCATCTCGCTTTCCCTCTCTAATGGCTTATATAATTCCAAGACTAAAAAATTAATTACGCGGGCGGCGTGATTAGGGCTCTAATCCGTGATTAGGAGGATATTTTTCTCTCTCTCTTGGGGGGCGGAAAACGTTGGGTTATAGCCTTATAGGAGTAGCATCTGGGTGCTTCCAAATTCCAATCCGGTAGGCTAGGCTGGTTTTGGTTTCGCCTTTATTTTCTTCTTCTTCTTCTTCTTCTTCGGTTGGTTTGGTTTGTTGTTGCTTCGGATAATTATAAAACTGATGATGATGATGATAAAAATCCACGCCTTTGTTTTCCCAAGGCGATTTTTGTCGATAGACCCCTCAAGTTTATGTATTTTTACTGGTTGAGCCCTCATCGGTTCTCGATTTTAGGACTCTAAATTAAAGTTGATTTTTTATAGATATTTTCCAACTTAATTAGTTTCTTTTTTCATTAGATTTTAAGTTGCTGGGAAAACATATAAGAAAATTAAACACAGATTATTTGTTATCACTAATAAGCTGTTACAACTTATAATAAGTTTTGAACTATCAATATGATCCGTTATAACAACATGTGAACAAATAGAATTAGAGTGTGCTGGATATTTTTCTCCTTCTTTTCAACATTGAACGGTTTATGTTATCAAGTGAGACATGAAATTCGTATGTTTTAAAGGAGACTTTATGGACTACAGTTTTATTAATAAAATCTTTTATGACAAAGCTAGCTATGCCATTTTTTGGAAACACAACATAAACATAACGTTTATAGCCGCATGCATACCCTCGTTTCACATCTTACACTTGTGAACACTATTGAGAGACTGGGTGAACATTTTTTTAAGATTAAAAAGGTTACCATTTTTTTTAAGATTAAAAAGGTTACCACATGTGTTTTAATATCGATGGGCGTGTTGGTTGCCACTAATTGAATTATTAGCCCGATATGTCATTGAAATTTTAGAAGTACTTTTTTTTTTCATTATCACTACTTGGGGCTCCTTGAACATAAGATTTTACACAAATTAGTTTAGCACAAGTAAAATTTTCTCCCATTCATGAAAGAAGGCCTTAATTTCTTTTGTATTCGTAGTTTGTTTATGCGCCTAGTTAGCATCATTGCTGCTACCAGCACTGATATCTCCATCAATAAATTATTCTAGATTCATTATAGGCATCATTAATCACAAGCATACATTATGCACCAGCACCATCAGTCTTTCATAAAAGATCAGGAATAATCAACATCATCCTACAGTGTATAAATATCAAGAAGATCCATCAAGCACTTCAGCATCCCCTGGCCATGTTTTGTTAATAATCCACTAGTCATAATGGGGTTGGAGATGTGACACCAAATTAAAGTAGTAAACAGATAAAAACAGTGAGCACTACATAAAATGTTTAGTTCCCAAGGGTCTCTTTGCAAAGTGTGTAAGAGAAGAGAGAGAATATTGAAGCGCGTGGGCCCACTGACGGTGCGGCTGAGATGCACACCTTCTACTTTTGCATCATCAAATCTAAAGGGTGATAATAATTGGGTCTGATGGTCACTTCATCTCCAGCCCATGATTTTCCAGAAAAGAAAACCATTTCTTTTAATTTCTTTCTTCTTTGGAGAGAAAGCAGTGTTTACTAGGACAATATATATTGCTCTAATTTGCACAAAACTCGTATGTTTTGAATCATATTCGTGGTAAAGAAAATCAGTTTCCTAGGAGTAGACAAAAGAGTACTCCTAACAAAAGATATCCCAGGTAAAGTCAGGACACAAATGCAGACAGCAGTTGATTTGACCCATGGCACAGGCCTGTCCACTCCTGCAAAATAGTGTCAAAAGAGATTAGGGATGTGATTATCACAAAGGAGATAGAAGAGGTACAGTACAGGTGGCCAAGGGCTGCCTCATCCACAACACCACCAACCAAAAGATGGGCTGAGAATAATATCACTACTCCTACTCCTAGATGGAGATAAGCTCTAGTACAAATAAGAGAGAATTTTGAGACCCATTCATCAAACCAGGCAGTAGTTTTCAGAGAGAATCATGGTCCATGATCATTAGAGTTTAGTGAGACCCACAGCTTTGCAAGTTGCAGCACACATGTGTAGCTCTCTAGCTCTCCACCTGTTACTCTCTCTGCATAACCTGATAGAGTAGGAGTAGAATCTTGCAAGCCCCAGTCTGTGTCTTACCTGTAGCCTCACTTTCAGGGCACCTGGACGTATTCGCGGGCGACGGCTGGGCCTCTCCGTCGACCAAACGTGTCACCTTCAGATTACAAACTGGGTACTGATGACTCTCGATGATGGCACATGAGGCGTGGCCATCCGATGGCCACACCGCACATGAGATGAGATCATGAGACCCATCTTTCCTGTGTCAGAAACTCCGAACATTTCTGGATAACAGGACCATGAACTTGTAGAGTCCAGTGCATTCAATTCAGAGGCATGGACGAACAAACATTGAATCTAATGGGGGTTTGGTTTGCCGACTTATGGAGCTCCATTACATACATGTTATTGACATCAACCGGTCATGTAAAATCTCCAGAAGTCGCATGGTTCAAATGTGTATATTCAGTTTGGACTATGAACGGATGCAGCCATCCGACTGCGACTAAAGAAAGAAGGGGATTGACACCTCATGGTGGATCTACAAAATCAGCTTACACTAGTTGAGACTTGGGAAGACACCATTATGCTGTGGTACATACTCCTGGCCATTGGGAAGAAGACAAGATGGAGAAACAAAAACTGTCACTGAATTAGGCTGTTGCTGCCATTGGTACTGCTCTGTAGCAGGCTCGCTTCGCTGCACGAACAATGTCCTCAACCTGCAAATGTGGGGCACCAACATGAGTAAGGGGAGAAAATAAATGAATCGATCACATTCCTACTATATTTTTAAAGTTTTGATATGACTGAAGGAATCTGTATGGTAGGATGATTACTGTAGCCGGCTAGGTCGTTATGGTGGAATAGCAACAGTTGCTGAACTTGGCATAACGAGATGGAATTCCTAAAGTTCTTGTTCAAACAAAGCAGCAGCCGTAAGTACCTGTGGAACAGCCATCCTCTCAAGGTTGGCAGCGTAGGGCATGGGCACATCAGCTCCAGCAATCCTCTCAACTGGCGCATCAAGATATTCAAAGCTGTCCTCTACAACAGACATGCTGCAAAGAAGATACAGTACATATGAGAACAACTTGTCACAGAGAGCGAGGGAGAGGGAGAGCGAGAGAGAGAGAGAGAGATGGACCATATTTCAGCGCCAACCCCATGTTGTGGAAATCCTTCTTCAAGGGTTACCAATCTGTTGGTTTTCCTAACTGATGCATTGATAGTAGCTCTATCCAATGGCCTAATTGACCGAAGATTGATCACCTGATAAAAGATATTGATATATAGTAATAAGAAAACAGTGATGGCATGTTGTTAAAAATAGATGTCTAGTTGCATATCTATACTGTACAGTATATTTTGCAAAAGGAAACTACCTCAGCACTGATTCCCTCCTTGGAAAGTATCTCTGCAGCCTGAAATTTGACTGAACATGAGAACATACGCAGGCAAGAACCATCGATCATATATTGTACATATAGTATTAAAAATGAAATGCTACTTAAACAAACAAACAGTGAACTATCTCAAAATAATGCATATCCAAGTGTATGTTTGCCAAGTCTGCATCAGAATCAAGCAAGCATTGAAAAAGGGAACGGGTCATATTACAGATACTCTCAATTCCACTAACTAGTGGAGTCGCGCATTCGCATAACCTTGACCAGGCTGTTAGAACCACTAATGTATGTGCCTATTTGGTTTATGTAGTGAAACAACTAAAACCAACTTGTCCCAACCTTCCACTGTCCCATTTGTCAAGATAAGGCATGTGTAAATGAGAGCTCCCATACAAATTCCAGCCCAAACAAGAGGCCCATTTATGGCTGGTATTTGGTACAATGTTGACTGTTGATAATGCAGTGTTCAGCTAGTGACTCTAAGAAGCCTGGAGCCTTCTTCCTCATCTACCTATTCATTTGTTGTATCTCCTCTTACCATCCTTCTCCTTCATTTGTGGCTCTCTAACATCCTTGGTCAGACAGTTCACATTTATTGTCCATGTTTTGTCTTTTTTTTCTCTCAATCTGATGGTCTTTTTTTTTTTTGCCTAAGTTGACAATGAGGTGCTTTGAAATCATTTTGCATTCACTACTATATATAGATGTGATTCTATTAGGGGTGCAAGCCGGCAGCCCGCTGTGCCGCATAAGAGCCCACGTGCAATTCATTTTCCACCCACTAGAACAAAAATGGATGCAAAAATATAGCTGCAACTGTGGATTAGTGGGCCTCAAAGCCCACAAGCCCACCCTGCTTGCATCCCTAGATGCTATGCACATTGTCCAGCCTTTTTATTTTGTAGAAAAAAATGGAATGAATAAATAAAGGGTCCGGTCTTTACCAACAGGTATAAGACCTGAATTACTGATGGAAACCAGTGTCACTAGAGACACCGTTATTAGACATAATTCTTCAGCTTAAGAAAATCTGGTATCCACACACCTGAAGAGCATATCCGACCATCTTGGAGAATGCGGTAATTGTAACATCTTTTCCTTCTTGCTCTATCTACACATAGAAAAATGAAAGCAGCCATCAGAAATAAACTCTTCCAGGCAAACCAGAAACCGAAACCTGACCAAATAAAACTCATCCTACTACGAAATCAATACAACTATACAGCATACCTTAGCCTTCCCAATCGGAAGACAGAAGCTAGAATCAAGAACTTCCGCAGAAACAGGGAATGATTCACCATAGCTGCAGAAATACACTATTCAGTGAAATGGCAAATCAAATTTAGAGAATATAATTGGGAAGGAAAGGCTAGCATACAGCAGTTCATTTTCCAAGAAAACAACAGGGTCTGGATCCCTGATTGCTGCTTTTAGCAAGCCCCGAGCATCTTCTGCAGAATAAGGAGTTAGGACCTTCAATCCTGGTACATGCGCATACCAAGCCGCATAACACTGCATACCAAGGCACTTAGTTAATTCCACCAAAATAAATGACAAGAGGAGTTTGAATCAAAGCTAAGGAATGAAAAGAGAAGAAATAAACTAAAGCTTACACAATCACACTAAGTACTTAGTTCAACGCATTTTTATAAATAATTATAGCAGGATAAACAACTCATGTAACAAATAATCTCATTCTTCACTTTTAAC